TGTATTCGGAATAAACTCTCCACGGAGAAGTGAACATGAAAACATACACCTTCCTACCTCTACATGCTTTTGTTTGGGTTCAAAGTCCATGCATCACGTAGGTGTCAAATAGTTGTAGGACACATGAGCCTGGTTTTCCTGGTTCCAACTTCATCTCCTTCCAAAGTTCACTCACGCCTGGATTCCGCCGTTGATCATTCGCCCGTCCCACTCATTACTAAGAGACTGACTAAGAGTTATCCACCAAAGTGGCCAACAGTGGTCTCACTAAGACGACCAACTGGCTATGTCAAAAGAGTCCCGTCCAAACCCACGGGCGATACCTATAGGTTCTCCAGTGGGTCATAAACGAAGCAACATCCAAAACCAAGGCCAAGCCACTCATAGACCTGCAGGGCTGCCACAGAGAAGGCCATCGAGAAGACGGCGATGATGCCGATGATCCGGCCACCTGGTAGTGCAAAGATCCGGCCGATGGCCGATCTTGGAGGAAAAGGTTACAAAGCAGTTGGTTGACCTGAGCAAATGACACCAATATCAAGGATCTTGGATGATCTTGGGGTGATTTCACGCTAGAGCATCACACAAACGATGGCCTTGTCTACTCTGAACTCAATTTTGCTATCAAGTTTTTACATTCTGCTCACCGACTGCCCCACCCCTGCAGCCCAGCCGCTGATCTCCGTGGTGCTTATGGAGAGTGCTGCCAAGGCAGCGGGCGAGAAGGGCGAAAAGGCCAAGGAGAAGAGCCAACTGTACCTGACCAAAAGGGCTAGTTAGGAAGACGCTGAGAAGTTGAGAAGATTGTCACCAGTGAGTAGTGCCGTACTGAGTAGTGCCGAATTGAATGGTCATGTCAAAGCTGGATTTTTGATGATTGGTACATTCCGACTTGGAAACATCGTTCCCAGGTTGAAATCCCAAACATCCCTGACACTGCTGAGGTTAATTGATAGCTCACAATACTCTAGATTAAAAAGGCAACTGGCTCAAATCTGTCTCACCATGCATCATTTTACCTATCAACATATCTCTCTCCCCCTGCAGAAGTGGCGGGGACACCCGAAGGGTTGTGGTGTGATCGTTGGTTGGGGACACCAATCTCAGCTCTGACCAATTGTTACTAGTAGCTACTTGCTCCTAATAGTACGGCCAGGAGCCCCTAATAGCGTCCTTGCTCCTAGTAGCGATGCCAGGAGCCCCTAGTAGTGGCTTGTTCCGCATGTTCTGCGGGATCGTGTTCGTTCCCGCCAGGCGGCATCCACTCATGGTGATCCTCTGCCCAGGTGGATCCACACCGTCGGCCCCTCAGAACGGCCCCAGGTGGATCGGACGGTCTTTTTGGTGCTTAGACTTCCTGCTTGTGACTGAGATAGCAACGACCTCGCAGTATCTGACGCATAGACTTCGGAGTTGAACACGTGTGGTTTCTTTACATCGTCCCAGGTGGTTTACTCGCCGCGGGCAACGATCGATGTTGGGAAATTCGACCGGGTGGGTTGGTTTCGCCCAGGAGCCCCTCTTGCAGCTCGTAGATCATCATATGGGAGGCTCCGCTCAAACCGAACGAAAGGCCGGTGACCAGTGCGAAGATCAAGAAGAGCTGTCTACTCTGGGTGTCCTGGCGAAGGAGGTGGCTGCAAAAAACGACAGGGAAATGACAGAGGATATGAGTCACCATCACGAAAGCAAGGGAAGTCGTGGAACTGTCACAAAAAAAAGGGCCCTGCAGCGCAAAGAACCTCTGATGTCTGATGCCACCTTTTGTTGAATTGTATTGGACATCATGAGATGAGACATGGTCATGGGGTCTTACCCACTCCCCACCATCCCAAAGTTCGAGCACTCAGACCTCACCTGGTTCCAGTAGCATGAAGCGTTCGAGTGTGGCCTATAAGACTAGAAACTCGTGAGCGCATCACGCTTGGAAGAGAGTCACATGACCCCCACAGAACAAGACCCACCCCCCGTATAGGACAGGTGGATGTGGATGATCTGGGATGCTTGCCTAAGTCTCTATGGGACTACTTGGCGCTTTTTGGGTGTCTGCTTTCGATCCACAGCCATGTTTCACTTCGAAGCTACAGCACTCCTTGCTACAGCTCGCCAGCACGGCACTCACAGCACAAACGGCTGTCACCACCTCAGGGTGGAGGGTGGGTTGAGGCACCTGGCGAACTCCCCTGGTGGGTTGAGACCGGGGCGGCTCTAGCGGCGCTCACACCCGAGACTTGTGTTGTCTCGACACAGTCAACCGCCACAGTCAACGAGTTCTGAGGTTCCACCCCGGTGAGGGATAGCTTTCAACAACCAGAGGTGTTTTGTACCCTTATATCTATGCCGTTTCCCCTGTAGTTAACTAGTAACTAGAGTCTATGAGTCGCTTATCTTTGTTTTTGAATGTTTTTGATGCTTACCATCTATCCAAGGCCTTCTGCTCACCCGCCCGGGTGTCGACCAAAGCACATAGGCGGTGCTCCATGTGAACAGATCCTGGATTGCAGCCGGATCATGGGCCGAAAATCCAATAAAAGTCTAACTCAGCATCACTCTCAGCATCATATCCTTTATAGACATCTGAAGTAAATTGGAAAAACATTTTAAATATCCGAAGTAACTTGGTTCCAGGGGTGTCACATCAGCGTGCCAAGGAACTGTATCTCTCTCCCCACAATCCAGGAAGGACAGCGACTCCATGGCTGGCCAAACCAAAGGCGCCGCCGGCGTCTCAAGCGCGTGGGGGAACAAAAGGGCCGATCCCACACAGTTTGAGCAACGATGTGATGGACTATGGTCAAAGGTCGAACACAGATCACCTACAGATCTTGATGTAACATATTATAACATCGACCTTTTTGCTTGCCCACCGAGTTTGGAAACACGTCGCTTCTTTGTTTCTCAAAGTTGTATGGTCATGTAGAGTGATTCATTGCGGATCTAGGCTGGGCTAGAGAAACCTAACACCATCCGTGGCCAACGATTGTTTGAGACAGTCTGTTGCACCGTTTGCGATGTTATGTTTCATCCAACTTCACCTGTGCACATGAACTTCACTGTTCTGCAGTTCTGCTGTTTAAGTTCTTGTTCTCATGTCTGTGCGTCGGTTCTCAGCAGCGAGCCAATGTTGTTGCGTAGGATTTCTGTGTAGAATGGCTCAACTGGCTCAACAAGGTCAAACTGATCTGGACGTTGGGTCGCTCTGAAGCGCAAAATCACATGTCCAACACTTGTTGACCTCTACTCACTTCAAGTCAAGAGTCAGTGGTCAGTGGACAGAACCACCTCAGAGTTGAAGGTGTTCAGTTAACAGTACACACAAAATGTTTGACCTATCCTTGGATAGACCCAGAATTACTAATTAGTACACATTCAATCATACTCAGTAATTAAGTGCTTAGCCTGCAACATCATCCAGTCGTCCCCATTTCTGAAAGAACATGAAAGAACTTCTTAGCCCACTGCCCGGTTGCGATGCGCCCAGGTGTCCCCCTTCCCAGCCGAAGTGCAAAAGCAAATCAAACATGTGAATCCAGCAAAAAAAAACATGTGCAGGTGTTGACAATTAGTAGATCGGAACATTCTTCAAGGAAGGCCACCTGATTTAAGGATGGAGCAAGAATCCACAGCTCCAGAACGGAACGCAACATCTGTGCAGGTCTTGCATCTGTCATGGCTGAATTATGATTTCACTGTACCTGATTCTTCCGCACGTCTGGCACGTTCCGTGTCACACCGACGGCGCGGAACAGATGCATTTTCTCCGGGCTCTGCTCCGAGTTCCGGAGCGCGACCATCGACCGCTGAGTCCACAGTCTGTCAGTGGAGCTGAGGGGGTCTTTTGGGCGCCGCAGCGAGTAATCATGAGTAACCTCCCCAAAGAAGAGACTTCAATTGAAATGTTGTCTTACAAAGCCAACAGCTGACAGGTCCCATAGGTGCTCTTTTTCATTGAGTGGCAATGGATCCAAAGAAGAGTTGAGTTGACCATGTCAATCACAGGTTGACATTGTAGCCCAACGACCGTGTCTTCTTTCTGTGAGTTCTCCAGACAAGATCGGCATCAGCAGAATGGCGATGAGAAGATCATCGTCAGCAGGATGGGCGTGTGGGATTCACCACCAATCACCTTGGATGATACGGAGACAGAAGCGACCACATAATCCTAACAGAAATGCCACATCATCTTAATCATCCTATAGTCTTTCTCAATGATTGCTGGTTCGATGCAGCACCCACTAGACGAATCATGGCACTTTTGCGAGTAAAACGACAAACACATGGCACTTAGCTGTCCAAGACAGAATGAACCTTACGAGAAGTCTTGTGAGATGCACCTGAGACGCCTCAAACAAAAGTCCCTGGATCCAAAAGGTTTGGTCTTGTGACACCAAAACCAGTGCCGACCATCCCAAGTGGTCTGTGGGTACAGTTTCGATCCGAAAGACCAAAGCAGCCCATATTGCAAGACCGGCCCAAAGCCGCTGGTCTGCAGCCCGCATTTCGGCAGAAACCACAAACTGCAGACCTGTCGCTGTGGGAGCGACACGACCTGTCTTTGAATGCCAAGAATCGCCCCAGGTCTTCGGTCGTGGCAAGCACACAGAATTCACGGATCATGAGCAAGAACTGAAACCTGAAAGCTTGTGTTGCGCTTCAACAAAAACAAATCAAGAGTTATGTCGGATTTCTATGTGGGTGTTTCCTTGTCCACCGAGTCCAGTCGGACTAGACAAAATACGACCCAATATCATCAGCATCGGTCAGCAGGGGGACAATAAAAATTAAAGTGACGACTTGCAAAAATCTACACAACCGTGCCATGGATTGTCTATCCGCAGCAACTCAGTTCTTTTCTATCATGTGGCACAATGCCAGCGCTTTTGCAGACTTTTGCTGCAAAACAAAAGGATCGAATAGAAATGACAAGAATGCAGGGTCTGCGACGCCAGAGCGTTCAGTCTGATCCGCCACAAAAGGCACCTCACGAATGTCGCTTCCTTTCAGAACTTCAAGCGGACAATGAATTGCCACTTGCCACCAGCGGTCTCTGCACCGATGACCGTGGCTCCAAGACCATACACATCATATGGTCCACCGTTGTCAGAACCTGAACCAGACAGCTCTGGTTTCCATCCCCACTTCTCTTGGCACTTATCCAACACACATTGGATGGCACCACCCAGGGAGCCCTGCAAGCTACCCAAGTTCGATGTGTCCACTGGACTCTTTTGGAAGCAGCTCTCTGTGAAGTGCAGCAAGTCTGTCTCCTAAAACGAACGTCTGAGCCTGGATTAAGCTTTAGGCAAAATAGCTAAAAGTATGGCTTAAACTTGAACGGTCTTCGAAGGTGATTATGGTTCAATGAACAGCATGACAGCTCATGTAGAAGATCAAAACAATACCCTTCAAAACTTTGATTGAGAATCGGAAGCAAATCAAACATGTCAAGAACTAACCCGCCCATGAACGTTTTCTCCTGTGCATCCGTCGCATCCCCTCGATGCAAACTCTGTACCATCACGGTGGCATCCCCGTGGTCCGCTGGGGCTGGGGTTTGGGGCCTCTGCAAAACGAATTGCCAGCGGCCGCCTGGAGTCTTCACTGCAATGACCGTGCTATCAGCTCCAAAGCCTGCCGCACTGCCCTCATCTATGCCCATGGCCTCCACGGACACGTGCCAACGGTCGGAAAGACCCTGAAAAATGCCCACATGAATTGTTGACTTTGTCGACCCTGACGAGATCAAAAGCATTCCAAAGCAAAAAATCACGACGTGTTAACCCATACTTCCTCGGCTTGTTACCAACAGAACAGAACATGTGAACAACATCGCATTAGCCTTTACGCTTCAACACAACTTTGGTCTCAGTCCGGCCTCAAGCTTTGGCTGCCACCCCCACCGTAGGTTCACATGATAGAGCACGCACTCTGTCGCGTCGTTCATTTCAGTAAGCTTTGTCACAGGGTTCCAATTGAAGCAGTCCTGGCAACCCCCAAACCCTATTGCTGGACTCTTCTTGCTGATCTTGACATACAAATATCTTGATCATTGCTATCTGGAGGATTCTTTCGCTGAACTCTTCCCATGTTTGATATTATCATTTCTTCTTCAAGCATCCCAAATGGCACGGTCCGACGGTGGAGAAACGACCACATTTGACGGTCCTCAGAGTATTTCAAGAGATCCGCCACTTGGCTCTCGTCTGCCCATCCTGTTAGGAGACATTTGGCTGAGATGTCGCTCAGAAACCTCTCGCTGCCCAAGGCGAGAGCCCAGAATGCTATGTGAATCAAACACTTCTGCATCGTCAGAATCAATAGCTTGGCTCTGGAGCAGAAATTCCTGCAGTGACAAATCTCATTCCTGGCAGTAGGAGAGCTGGTCAAGTCAATTGCTCTGACCCATGCTGAAGTTTGATTCGATATAGTGAAACGAAAATAGAACTATATTTTGAGATGACAAACCTTTTGATTAAAGCTCGCCAGGAAGGACCAATTCCTTGCGAGCGCTCCAAGACGAACATCCTAGATCCGCAATGGTCACCCCAAAAGAAGGTACCAAAGAGCTTTATCAGAAACACTGTCTGTCAGAAATATAATGGCCCATGTATATATATATATATGACACCGATCGGTAGGATGAAACCAAGTCCTAAAACCACAAGCAACACAAGTCCTTCTTAGGTCCTTTCTTGCCCCGAAGAACCACTCAAAAAGTTCGACCTCTTTAAGAATCGACACACAAACACACCATGAAAACCAATTGAAACCGAGTAAACACCCTTGCCAGTCAACGATGTGCCAAGAAGCGCCGTTTACACCGTTTTCAGCAATTTCTTGGCCACAAAAGTCATCAACCGCCAACCTAGGTACTCTCAGTTTCTGTTCCTATTAGTTGCTTGCCATGTCCAGTGCATGTTTGACCAGGCTGTTATTCGTGACTGGAAGTGACTGGAAGCTAAGTGTTTTGGTGTCAAGAAGCCTAGCCAGCGTCCGGCGTCCCAAACAGGGGGGGTGCCTCGGAACACAAAATGTCTGTGACTGCGGACGAGGCTCTCAGCTGGATGCTGCTGAGGTTCAGCGATCGCGCGATGCTGCCAACTGCAAACCGAGTCGGTGATCGCGCGGTGAAAAAGCTCGATCATCTCTTTGGCAGCTCCAAGCGAACGAAAAATAACCGCCTCCGTGCTGGCAAAGCACGCTAGCCGCTATTCCAAGCTTGGTGGAAGCATCAAGGTAGTATTCAAATACTGTACTACATAATACTACTATCATGTCGAAGCCACTCAAAGATGTTTGTTTTTGGTGCCAACATCACAACGTGGGAATGATGCCCACGGTGTCATAACAAGAAACGACTCGCCGTGATGGTTTAGTGGCCGAGGGGCGTCGCAGCTATGTGGGAAAGTCCTTGTCCCAGGCAGTACCATCATCCTCCTTGAAATGAGGAGTGATCCACAATTCATCTAATATTCCATTGTTTCCCGAACCAACATGGCCTGGAAACACTCATGGATTATGAAAGCTCTCCTTTTAACAAGATCACAGCATGAAACCAACACTCACTAGAGGTGATCGAACGTGACTTTGCCTTTTGGTTCGGGAGAACTATGGGAGAACAAAAAGGTCCCAGGTTCAGATTCTGGGAGAAATGGCGTGACGAGCTGTCGGCTGCGAGCTGTCGGCGTCGCCCTGCTAACCCGCTAAGGATGTTTCAGCAATGGTGTTCCTCCAAACCGCTAAGGTGCAGATCTGCTTAGATTCACATGGGCCGAATGTGACCAACTGTTGCCACTGGATTATCATCCAATAAGTCAAGGAGCTGATTATCTCAATGATCACCGAAGAAAACAAACATCAAGGACAAATCCGTGGTACAAAAGGTCCAAAGTCTGGAAGTTGTACAGGTCCAAAGTCTGGGCAGCCTTCGAATGATTGGAGGTCTACTTGGATGGTCTGGTCGACAGCTGCACATGTCTCAAACCAAGCTTCGTAATCAGGTGCCTGAGGTAGGTCTTCCTGAGGGGAGACTTCGCCCAACACACATCAAATAGAATGCTCCACACATGTTGTAGTCACCTACAAAATCTCATCAGCGAGTCCGGGAGTAAGACACAAATTCAGAATTGTTTCTCTTTGAGGGCCCTATCATTTTGACAGCTGATTTGTCATGGTTAAGAGTGATCCAGCGCGTTGCTAATCAAGATGAGATATTGCTTGAAAACGTCTTCACCAAAGGTCCAAAGGGTTTGGCAGGAGATGGCGCCTGCTGAACCACTGCCCATGACCAGCTTGACTACCGCTTGCCTACATCCGGTTGCCAATACAATAGGTACGTGAAGGTCGTGAAGGCGCTTGCTTCGCATGAACCACAGTGTGGATCCTGAAACTCAATGGGTATGACGCTTACTGCCTCAACCTCTCAGAACCAACTGTGGGGCTCTTGTTATCCACTGCCCAGATTTCATGGCCAACATAGGCTCTGCCTGCTGGGTTGGGTAAGTCGGGGAAAACATTCAGAAAGTCCTTACACATGTGCTTTAAGAATTGATTGGCAGTGCTTACTGCGCATGATCCAATCAAGGCCACCCTCAACGTCCCGTCCATCATGTTCTGCCCAAGCTCATGTCAAGTGTGTTCCCAGACCATCCATGTATGGAATAGTTACTTATATACATTAGGGTCATGATGAATGGAATGGGGTGAATGATGAATGTATGTAACTATTCCATAATATTCCATACATGGATGGTTCGGGGTTGAACCATGCTAACACAATCTAGAACGATAGGTGGTGGAAAAGGCAGGTCAGATCCCGGGGATGCGCAGGAAGCACGTAGTCAAAGGAATAGTTAGTTAATGTAGAATCTTAATTAGTAACCCCCCGACTTGGATTACATTAGTCCACCTAAATAAATATCTTCAAGGTTGATATCAGAGATATCAACCCACCGTGGTGTCTTGGCCTTTGACATCTTTTGATCCATGCCCACATTGTGCTTAGGCTGATTATATAGTCAATTCCTTGTTAGACCGGCCATCCAAACAGAGCCGAGCCGAGTCAGCCAAGGGGCTGCCTGTGGGCAAAAGTTTGCCAGGTCGCGCTTGCCTCTGATCCGCGGAAGGTATGGAGCTTCAAAACGAAGGTCGACCAGCAAACGCCAGTTGATCCCCCCAAAGAAGCGGTGCTCCTGCACGTGAGTGTCGCAGGGAGCAAGTTTGCCGGGATGTCTTGGCAAATCTTGACACAGCCCACCCGAGTGCAAAGAAGGGAGAAAACCAATGGCAGCCCCTTTATCTCATGTCATCCTGGCAAATGCCTGGCTACAATCTGATCCAATGTAATGCACCATAGAGTTGTCGACAACATTCGACAACTACCAACTTCACTGTAGACCAGCCAAGCAGGCGGTATTGGTTCACCGCGATTCGCGGACATCAACATCCCTTTGATTTCTCGCAGTCCACACTTTCAAAGCAACTTGCTCCTGAAGGGGACTCGCATGTCTATGAAAAAAAAGGCCACCATGTACACTCTGCTGACGTTACCAGGTTTCACTTGACTGCGATGATCAACATCCACCACTGCCTCCCCACTGCCTCTCTCTGCTACGCCCCACAGCTAGTTGGCTAGTTGCTCAAGAAAGACCTAACCGTTTCTTTGAGGCTCTTGGAGGACCGTTCAGCTAACCCCCAAAAAGGATACGTACAGCCTTAGGAATTTTGCCAACTGAAAGCGATCTCCGTGCTTCTTTCCCAATTCCCGGTCAACATTTGGCATTTTTTAGATTTTACATGCTATGAAATGAGTGGTAATAAAATGTAATAAATATAAACCGTTTCTTAGACCACTGCAAACTGTAAAACTATCTCAGAGTCCCACTGTCCTAAAACGTCAGATGCATCTTGCTTCAATCCGCTTCCAAAAAACTCCAGCATGGCCAACATCCTCTCCTTAAGCTTTTGGAAACCCAGTCGCACTGGTAAACGCTCCTGCGGATCATTCCTGGCGGAATCCCCCGGGGACCAGTCCGTTCAGCTTGTTCTTGACCTGCTCTGGGGCTTTTTGGAGGGTCTGCTTTGTTGCTTCTTTTGTCTTGAAGATCAGGTCAGTGCCTTGTTTGAGGCTGGGGAATTCCTACCCAGTTCAGCATGGTCCCGCAGGGTTTTGGTTGGGCTGTGGCGCTCAGTTGTGGGTTCAAAACAAAGAATCCCAACAGCAAACTTGGCTTGGAAGTGGCATTGAGATCGAATCTGAGTTGTGTGGAGGATCTACATATCGTCACATCCTGGTTCTGGCGTGCGAAATCTGAATGCTGGTGTCTATAGTATAGCCTACAATATACGTACATATATATATATATACACATTGACATACTGTTTCTTTTTGGTTCTTTCAACAGTTCATGCGAAGCACACTGAAGCTCTGGATGCAGTTCTGTGGATGGCAGGTAGCTGCGACTACTTCCGGCGGTCCGGAGGAAAAAATGCATACTTTATTACCTGATTCACATATGCGCATGGTCAATATAGAAGTCTCCGTCTCCTTTAGCAGTCTTACACGATCTTAAGCGGCAATCCTGTTTCCCCACTTCCATGTCTTCTGAACATCTTTGAATGATTCTGTAATACAAGTATAGCCCATCTGCTGATTTTGCGTCCATCTGTACACGTCCTTCTTCGGAAACCTGCAGCGAACCTCAAGATCTGCTTGATGAGATCGGCCGGTGTCCGCCCCATCTCCGGCAAGTCTGGCACCTGCGAGTCGTCTGAAAACACGTGGCACCAAGTGCTGAACATCCCTAGCTCGACGTGAGCATCTTCGAAGGAAACTTGAAAGCACAAGTCATAGGATGTGACCGCCTTTCACCAATGCACCACAAGTGCCCAGGACTTGGACAAAAGCTGAAGTTCCTCCAGTTCGGACCCGAATCTTTAATATGTTATGTGGTTACTGATCACCGTCATGCAACCTGTCGGTCCCTTCCCATGGTTCTCCAAATACGTCTTTTTGTTGCAGAAATCTCCATGCCTTGCGAAGGCCTTTCAAGATTCGCACGTAGATCTCCATGGGGTTGGAGGATTCGAAGGGCGGCTTGCCGGACATCAACTCAAACCTCAAGGTCACGAGTCGAGTCGCCTTTTGTGTCGGAAGACATCCGAGGGTGCAGCAATACCACTGGCTGTACCACGTCTCAGGCCAAAACACATATCGAACATCAAGGAACTATATGCATTTATAAAATTTTATTATATATAATATTATATATATATATCACCATCAACTATAGGTGAAAGAAACGTTCAAACAACAGCGATGCGCGAAGCATCCATCATCCCCCAGTCCGCTAGGCAAACCCACCAGTGACGTCTCCGCATCTTCTTCGAAAACCAAGGTGCAGGAAGATACCGAGCGTCCACCAATCCAAGGGGAATCCATGGCCCGTGGCCAGGACCATCTCAGGTGCGAAATAGTCCTGGGACAAACTCTAGGGTCTGAAATTGGCGCCAAAGCGGACAGGCGGAAAGCGACCGTGGAGATCCAAATGTGTGGTTGGAGGATTCCAGGATTCCAGTGGTTTCAGAGTAGATGGTATAAGAGTATAAACGATGTGTTGTTTTCTTAATCGGGGGTCCATGTACACCACCTTTTCGGGATGGAGCCATCTACTTTGAAACAAATGACTGTAATATACTGTAATATTGAAGCAAATCCTGATTGTCCAACTGGCACCTTCGGGTGCGTCTTGGGCATGCGCCCGCCTCTGTGTGCCATCGGGTGGAGACATCTGGTTTGCTATTTACTTGGAGTCGCCTGGAGTGTCAAGAAGTATGGAATCTGAATTTGTTTTAGGTGTTTTGATAGAATAATCTCAAACCCAATCAATTAAATACTATGGAGTATACTATGGCAGTCTCAAAGAGGGTTTAGTATGGTTTAATAGTTGAGGAGTTGACCTCCTCTGAAGTGGCTATAATACAGTTGCGGCCCTTCTGTACTGAAAAAAGAACACATACGCTGATACTCTCCAGTGACGAGAAAAAGGTTTCCAACTTCCCACAGCCTGGATACCACAAATGGTGTAGGTCTTCTGCGCAACAAACTTCGCCTGGGAAACCACTTCCGACACCCGGAGATCGACCCCGAAACGGCCTCGGGGGCCGCCCTCAAGCAGGGGAAGACATGGAGACCAGCTTTCCTCGTACATGGAGGAAAAGACATGAACATCTATGCATTGGGCATATCATTTCACTTGCCACAAACCCAATGTGAGGGATGGTCTTATTATGTGCTGTATTAAAACCATTGTCATATATATATATATATATGTATACATGCAGATATAATATGAATTTATCCTACACTCAAGAGCTTTTGGTGCAAAGAAAAAGCTGTCTAGTTCGGCGCAATTCCCGGTTTTGGCATGCAGCGGAACTTCGCCAATTCTCACTCCAGGGACTAGGTCGAAAAACATCGAAGAAACATGCCCTCCGGCGCCTGCCATCCAATGAGACAGACCTGGTCGCCAGCAACTTACAGACCTTGGTCTCCTTGTTCGAGGTTATTGGACCCTAAAAGGCTTCAAATTGGTGATGGTAGCAATGCAATTCAGTTTTTGAAAGAGACTGACCCTCTGACCCGTGGGTTTCCGGGGCATCTTGGCCCACCCTTGACGATTCTTTTCAGGTGGGTGTGTACTTTAATAGTGGGACCTCACAACCAATGGATTTAGTATGTGTCTTATTTTCCCAGACGTCTTTGAGCGGTGCCCCGCCCATTCAAACACACACCCAGGTGTTGGTTGATGGGTCAAGTTGCCAAGGGATCAAGATGCGTAACAACCTCAAGAAAAATTGTTGGTCCAAGAAAACTCGCAAAAAAATTGACCCCTGGACCCAAAGATTAAACTGTTTGGAAAGCTTGGAAGCTCTTTCAGAAAGCGTATGACATATAGTAAGTACTCTATACAACACTATCCCAGCTGAATCTTCTGACCTACAAGAGTACCTGGCAGGTCTTTGATGGGATTTGACGTTTTGGTATGGCCAGGGCACCAAGGCGAAGTCGCAGAGTTTGATGTTGCCATCCTAAGATGTGTCGACCCACGTCTACAGCATCAGACCACTATGATGCATCATATCTGGGCGGATTGGACTCCAACCACTGGGTTTTGTTTTGAACGTTTTAGCCTAAATTTTGACCAAAACCAGGGACCAGGGACGGGATATGTCATATTCCTCGAGCCTCAAGGACTAGTCAAACCAAGCTATTGTGTTTGCTTGCTGGAATCAGCAAAGAAACTACTTTTTGATGCTTTTTGGCCAATAGCCCGCTCAGTTTTGGTCTCCACGAAATGAAAGGGGTCTTCACAAATTTGTCAAATAGGGCGGCAAACGACTGGCAATGAATCCATGGAAAATACATGAAAATAAGCTAGTGACTTGTGTCTTGATGTATATGAGCATCTGCCAAATTGTACTGTCAAGTAGATGACATGACTCAGCAAGGTTATCGCATTTGAGGGGGCCTATCGCTTTGCCTGGGTTTTAGGCCAATTCCTCAAAATTACGACCGCTCTTTACTTTAGTCATTGCACGTTTTGGCGATTGGCACAGGAGATTGGTTTCATTCAGGGTAGCAATTCTATCCATCTTCCAAATGCCTCGTGGCTAGACGAACCGCGACTGCAACACGCCAACGAAGTGCAACACGGCACCGAAGTGGCAATGCGAGTTGCTACCGGGTGATCAGCATAGCTTATCATGCAACCCCGTAAATCAACAGAGTCCTGGTCACCTCAAGTGAGGCCTGTGAGAAATGAGTCCGTTCCCTTCAGGATCCCCCAAACTCTCATCCTTATCATCCAGGCATCGTTGGTCACTAAAATATTCTCAGGATGTAGATCTCGGTAAACAATACCTGGGCCGCAACTTCTGTCTGTCCTGCATTCAGACAAACTGCCTGATCGGTGGTCTCTCCGGCCGGTCGTCACGACATAGAACCAGTCTTCACATGTTCTATGTTGCTGGAGTATAACGTCTTGCCAAATGATGTCTTTTGGCATCGCCTAGTCATAAACCGTTTTATTTTTGTTGCTGTTGGTGTGTCAATACGGACAACAAATGCCAAGCAGCTTCGCTTGTGCAAATACTGCAAAGCCAAGGAGACGCCTGGCTCAGTCTGGTCATGTCTGGTCCGTGTACAAAAGTGTTCCTGTCATAGCTGGGATTTTCCGGGAGGTCCGGTCACGGGCCCGCATGGTCATCTCGGCTCTTTCGTCTCGGCTCTCTCGTTCTCTTAGTAATTTACTGATCCTCAAATGAATGCGTTGACCGACTTTTATCTACAAAACAGTATACACGTCATAGACCCATGAATGAACAGTCTGTATTAATATAACCATTTGGATGGTCGGTCTAGCCGAATCCATTGCGTTTCTCCTCTTGCTCTGGACCATTCCCCTCCAGCTCTTCATGAATAAACATGACTCATTGGCTTTGTGCTTTTCAACATAACGTGACAGCAAAGCTTGACACACGGATAGGAAAGATTTGCAACAGATCTGTCTCCACCACTGTCTCCAACATAATGCCACCTGCATGGTCTGGCTCTCTCCTCCTCCTCTTCCTCCACCACCACCTCCTCCTCCACACCCCACACTCTTATTAGATCTTATTATCCATTCAACTCAACTCCAGCTATCACCCAACAGCCGGCTTTCGTAGTATGCACTTCTTCTATGCCGTTGCTGCGCAAGTGTTTCCATGACAAGTCAATCACCAAAGAGTACTTCTGCTCACAGAGCCTAACCATGAAACCCAATCACTGATCGATCTGATTGGCACCCTTCCCCGCTTGCTGTGTAGAAGGCCGCGTGCTTGTCGTTCCCATAGAGCTTCTTCCGGCTGTAAAGCCCGTGCAAATCTCCTTTCGGCGGAGGTCCAACGATGATATCGAATCAACTTGGAACGGAGTGTGTGTTTCCCTTGGAACGGAGTTGACTCGATTCTTTTAAAGTAACAAACAAACACTCCAACAAAACCACATAAAGACCCATGGCGTAGCCGGCCGACTCAAAAGGACGTCTTGCCCCTGGGAAATCAGTTTGCGAGTCTTCTCGACAGTCTGCAAGCCGAAAAAATTGGTTTCTACGCCACAAGAGTTCATCTGCTGAGCCTATAGGGCAGGAGAGTGGCTAGTAATTTCAGAGATCCAGCGCAGCCAGCATGCAACTTAACTTCCAAAGGCCCACCTTCCAAGCCAATCACCACCAGATCTGCATCAATCGCCCCAAGAGTTCCGCCCTCCGCCGTCGTAGACAGACCGAGTCGCTGCCCTCCGTGCGGACCGCGCCGGCATGCGAACCGCGCGTGGGATCTGAGCGCGCCTCCAAGAACGGCCTCGAAGAGGAGATACAAGGTCTGCTCGTCACGGTAGGCCCTGAAGGAGCGGAGTGAATGGAGTGAGTGAGCACACAGCTCTGCATGCGGCTCTGAACATCGTTGGGAGCGTGAAATACATCGGGTGAACGGTGGGAGCGTGAAACACCGACCTTCGTGTCAAACGTCCAAAAGCTTTGGGTGCAAGCCGATTTTTGATGATTTTGGTATGGTAGCACGAGCATCCAGAATTACAAAGCAAAGAACATTGAAAATCCAACAACTTGCTAACTTGGATTGCATGTTCACCATGGTCTGAGTTCTGCAGAATTACTCCAAGTGACCAAGTGTTGATGTGTGTGTTTGTGTTTATCGTTGGTCAAGTTATTTGCGCTTTGGAGGTGTCCAACAAATCATCATCAGTCCATGGGGCTTCTCCGCTAAAACGCGCTCTATCGCTGAGCATCTCGAAGAGCTGGATGATGAAGGGAGAGAGGAGGTATTGAAGAATCAGCCTGAGGAAGTAATGAAGAGGTGAATGGAGACTTCTTTAACTGATTTCATGTTTCACCAATCTGATTTTCGTGGATTGAATGTCTCCGGTCTCCTATCTGTGTCAAATCCGGTGAAATCCTCAAAGTCCTTAGCCCTTGTACTTGACTGGCCTGCGCCCAGCAAGGGAAATATATATATATAAAGGTCAGCACTCCAGCACTGAATTTAATCTATACTATACCATCTTTAATCTTATTATAGTTATAATCCACGAGTTCATTGCGAGCGCACAGGGGGCCACGCTAAATCTCAGGACACAGTTGCCCCACCACCACCACCACCACCACCACCACCACCACCACCACCACTACTACCACACTTGCCATCACACAAAGTCAATCGGGTCAACTGGATCAACTGGGTTCAACCGGGTCAACAGGGGCTGAACCTGGTCAACTGGGTCAACAGGGACACCCTATCAACTGGGTTAGCCGGGACAGCACATTTACCGCCCCCTACGCCGCCGCACTCTACGAGTTCTTGAATTCCAGCTTTCTCAGGACATAAACCATCCTTCGCATATAGTGCACAATCATCGACAGAAAAAGGAACTGTTTTCCACATACATGCACAACAATTCCACAATGATAGCCCCGACAAGGCTACTTCTCCAGCAACATTACATGTCACCAGTCCGTGTCCATTCCAACAACTGGTGAATGATGTGGTTTCTGCGTGCTGACCAACCAAATCGATCGTGGGGTGACACCGAAACAGTTTGGCGCTGACCTGCTGAAGGTCTTGGTTCAGATTGCTTGCGTATGATGGATCGTCATACATTAAAAGCAATGGCCCAAGAGGTTTCTCCTTAGCCAAATGAGATAGTCATGGAGTGTTCTGTCTCAGTCCAGTGGAACAAACGGCGTCCGCCGAGAAGCTTCTCGTTGAAGGCTATAGTTCTCTGTCCAGCTTTCAGCAGGAGCCCTTTTGACATGCCTCGGAGTAGTGAGTGAGACTTAGCTGGGGCATCCATTTACTGTATATACTTCGAAGACCCGAACTTTTGGTCAAAGCAAGTAGTATGCATGGATATGCATGGTATACCAAGGTATACAGTACATACAGTACATCTTTGCATCAGTATACATCACCTTTGTTGTGTACCATCTTGTATTGTGTCCAATGTTCGTTCTAGCTAGGCCGAAAAGGGCCGAAACTCAGCCAAGTCTGGTCAGGACTGCTCGAGTGACCGTGACCATGCCTGGTGGCCATGCTCGGTGGAAACGGAGGTGTGAATCCTTCAAGAGGGTCATCCGGTTCTGCTGTTCCTTTCTGATTGGATTTCCTCCTGCCCAGGTCTGGGAGTGAACACAGCATAGTATAACTCAAACCCTTAACAGCCAAAAGAGAGCGGTCACTCTAAACACATCTAAAAACTGATGCCTGGTGAAAGACATGTCTTCGATTATCTTGGTCTGTTTCGGCTCGGTGGACTCGCTTGGAGATCAAGTATGCAAAGTTCTCAGCTTGCCTCTCCGGGCAAGTAAAATAAGTGAGTCATGGCTTGGCTAAAGCAGCTCTTCAAGAGATGCGCTTATTAACAACAAGAGCACGGTTCCGCGTATGGATGAAATGACCAACATAACTTATATAACTAGAACACATACGCAACCCACCCCCCAAGTAACGCATCCATCCCTGCACAACTTCTTACTTACAAATCTTAGAGTCGCCATGGCGGCGAGCTGAACTCAAATCTCAACCCGCCAGCGCTACTCAACAACCCAAATAAACAAAGGATCACCTCAAACACATCCCCTTTCCCCAACCACCCTTGAATCCTCTCCACGCACCTACCACCTAATTACCATCGTTGCGACCACCCGTTGAGACCGATGGCTCTTCATTGCAAAGGTCTCCTCCCCATGGCGATGCGCCACCAGCTCCACTGCACCAAAGGCTCCCACGCCCAGCAGCCCCACGCCCACCAAATCTTTCCGAAAGATCTGCGTGGCGATGGCCACTGGAGAAAAACCGGTCCAACCCCGGCAGTGGAAAGCGGGTTGGAACAAAGAGCCGAGTGGTTGGGGCACCGGAAAAAATAACAGGTCGGCTCGGGGTGCTCTAGGCAAAACACCTCAAAACTGCATGTATGGCAGGAGGCCTAAGGGGTGGATACTGAAATATACTGAAAGACATATCACAGCGAGCTGTGAGACCGAAAGACTACAAGTTTCAATCTGCCATGTCTTCTCTGCTTGGTGAGTTCTACAAGTCGTGCTTGGTGAAATCCAAAGCTGTTGGAACCTTGGTGTGCTTTGAAAGCACTATTTCAATCTCTGAAACTGCAGTATTGGATCGTTGTAATAATGTTGCCCCAGCAACGTTTGTGCTGCCATCCAAAAATGACGAGTGGAACTGCACCCTTGTGATGCGCTGGATGTGCAACATGAGTCCGTTCTGGACTGTTTCGTTGAGTCCAACCGCCCAAACTTTGATGAGTGAACATTTAAGGACCGACCAGCCCCAAGTTGCAACCAGCCCCAAGTTGCATCACTCGAGCAATGATGGTTGTCATTGTTCCCCCTTCGTCTGTGACGTGTGACCTCTGGAAACAACACAGTCGAGCATGCCCAGCCTTCTGAAAAGGCTTGATGGCAATACCCTTCACTGCCTTGGTCTGCCTGACATGGTGAAATGCACTCCGCCAGTGACATGATTTGGGATAATATCATCCCACCAATCAACAGTTCATAGTGCAAATGAACATAGCGATGAACTGTTTAAGAACAGTTGTGATATTCATTGGTATTTTAGAGGTGTTACTGGGGGTGATATCTTGCCTCTGCGCGCCACACAACCCTTTGCCCATCTCAGCCAAAAGCAAACACGTGCAAACAAAACGTGTTCTGTATTATCACAATTATGACTGACTGAGATCAGAAATTGGCAACTGGATTTTGTTGTTTTTTACTTCCATGTGATGCATTACCCGCACAACCCCCCCGCAGCCTGGACTTACCATCCTCCTGAGCGCGGATGATCTCCTCCAGCGATCCCAGCAGCGTGTTGAAGGCAATGCGATCCAAAGCCAATACCTGGCGGATGCGTTCAACACCGAGTCGTTGATCAACAGATCAATCAATCAGGTTAGCAAAAAGCCAACATCGGATCCCCGGGTGCCACGTCGTCGAGGGAGGCGAAAGCCCTCTTCTGCGCCACCCTCGTTTCAGATTTCACAAATTGTTGGATGGCAGCTTGGTGTGTGTGTGTGTGTGTGTTGTTGGTTGGTTGAAGAAGGTATGGTGCCTTCGAATAGTTCTGATATGTTCTGATGATGAACACATAGACGATTTGGCGAATCCATATGAATCCATACATTCAATTGCAGCTGGTGAAAGCATTCCCTCAAACACTGTCCATGAAACTGATGCATACCCCAAACCAAGCTGCATCAAGGCAAAAACCAGTCATTAATAGGTAGTAGGTATGGTGGGACTGGCAAGCACCACAATGGCAGGATCTTTCGAAGAATATTTTGACCACCTGGACTAGAACTTGATGATTTCAAAGCGCTCGGCCTTTCAGACCGACCACAGGAGATGTCAAACAACCAATTCACTAAGTTTGGTGGGTTGACCGACCCAACAATATGCTCTCCTGTCGTCACGTACACCCTGGATCTTCTTTGATGGATCTCCGACTGGATCTCCGCTGGACACCCTCTATACCCTCTATGACCATGCGACGTTGAACTGACTCGGCTTCTACCGATCCCACGCAGATCACACACGCCCACACCCACACCCACACCCACACGCACGCACCTGCGCCTCTGTCGAGGAGACCCGAATGGTGGCTGCACGTGGTTGACTGCCTCAGACGGCGCTGAGGGTCGAGAGCCAAGTGAGCACGGGCCAACTACGGTGCAGGGAGAATATGTTGCATCGAGCACGGCCGGACAAACTCGTTGAGCCCTGGATGGCCCCTAGTCCACACTCACACTTTGTCATGATCAATTTCACACGTCTGCTTTTCAAACTGTAATGATTCTTGAGACCTGCTCCAGCTGCCAGCCCGCAGAGTCAACAACACTCAACAACACCTTTTTCTTTTGTTGCGAAGGAACTCCTAGCAACAAAGGAGTTGGTGTGTGCCGCGTGGACCCATACAAACGCCCAAACAGTGGGGTATGGAAGCTGTTTGATACGCCGTGCTGGATATCTATCACTTCTCCACAGGTTCGGCTCCCTGTGATGCAATCACATACCCAGGGTCTTTGGAACTGGTGCTCCATACAACTTGATGCAAGTGATGCGGCACCAGCTTCGGATTACATCTTCTGCATCACCAATCACCAAAAACTACCCTCCGTCAAAACCACGAACCGCACCAGGCTATGATGAAATTGGCCCGTTTGGCCTGCTCTGCCCCCAACCCCCCTTCGTTGGCAGAAATAACTTGATACAATCTGTGACACTCTACATGTATAAGATATATATAGGTCTATCGTAAACAACATTGTCAGACCTGAATTGTTCCAGGTATTGTTGGTGAACATTAATAGCACCTGCCCTTTTCTTGTACGAGTGGGCATCATTTAAGGATCCACAGCGAATTGCCCCAAGAAGTTTCGATTGGGTCACACCAAGTCTCAAACAATACGAACTCTGGCTGCGAGGTTCACAGGAGAGGATTCTACGAAGTTCCGGGGCAGAGTTTTGAGACCAAATTGCTGTCTTCATCTGCACTATACAGCAAGATGCTGTACATTGCTATGTGCAGGCGTCTCACTGAGACTGGGCAATGAGGCCTTGACTCAAAACTAGATATGAGATGATATGAGCAGCATACACATCTCACACCAATGTCTTGCAAACAGGTACGAGTATCACCTCCCACCGCAGAAGCTAGCTGACCGGTAAATCCATATCATGTGTACAGTATATGTATATACGTATAATTATGATACAGTTCGGGGCTGCCAATGGACCCTAGTCAAGAACAAATGATGTCATATCTTGGACACACTCTTTTACAACATGTTTTAGGGTAGTGTCCTCAAGATATGAGCTCAGCTTCCTAGTTTATGAACATCATTGAACATCTACAAGAAGACTAAGACTGAGGCTGAGGTGCTGAACAGGCTCGGTACTGGTACTGTTATAGGTTAATTTGAGTGGCATACCTACCGTTTAGTTTATTGACCCTTTGATCGTACATGTCAATTCAACAAATACTGTATATTTGTTTATGGGACGGCCTACCTTCCATTGGTGTTTTCTTCTACCATTTGCCAAAGCAACATTTCAGTGGTTCTCAAATCCGGCCTGCAGGAAATGTCGATATTGGTTGAAAGCCCTGATGTGGAACTGTCAAAGAAAGGAGGGCACTCAAGACCAATACATCCGTAATGTATAGTCTCAGTAATAGAAGCCAGGGGCCAGGAACTCTCCAGTTCGTGGGGTTGGCTTTGGAACCAAATGGACCCCCAACAAACCTCGTCAAACCATGAGAATCATATTTCCAGATATGTCAAACATACTTCCTGTCTTGTATTCTGATATATTCTGATAGCAGAACGTGGCTACATATCACCTGACCTCTTTATCCATGTCCTTCTTTTGGGCCGTGCCACTCATCAGCGCCTTCTCCCCGAAGTGATGAGCCGTCAACTCCTGGACGTGGCGCGCGGTGCAAGGGGACGCCGTTCGGCCCAAGAATTCCGAAGACCACACAAGGGGGGGGCATTCACTTCCATGGGCAGTTGGAGAGTAAACATGTATTCTGTTGTTACAAATGACAACAACTCCCCTACGCTGCCTGTGGTGGACGTCTCCCACGGCGGTTTCTGCAGCGAAGGAGCTCAAAACTATCCGACATATCTTTAAGATGGCCGATCAGATACTGGGGGAACCTCTCGGCCGATCTGGTTCAATTATAGGTCTGACGTCCATGAGTCAACAGACTCCATCGGGTAGTTGTGAATTGAGAAAAAACGTTCCTGAAGCAAGACAGTTAAGGCTAAGGCTGTGCTTGAATGGTGAATCTCAGATTGCATATCGATGGCTTAAGAAGTACCCGACAGTGAAGGGAAAGGTTTGCAAACAGGAGCACAGTTCCAAGTCATCACATAATCTAAGCGCCAAACAACACGTGTTCCAGATGATTGGAAACCATGTGCACTTTTGGGTGTTTCTATCAATTTTCAGGTTACTCTACCTGAGTGACTGAGAACTTCTTGCTGATCTGATCTGTGACGAAATCAAAAAGCCCAATTTTTGGTGTTGGGTCTTTTACAGTTCTTCATGTCAAGGAGATCGGCAGAGTTGAGGTTGGCAGAGTTAGAGCCAGAAGTACTTGCCTTGAAATCAACAGTTATATACAAATATAGCTTTTTCCCCAAGGAATAGCATATATGGGACTCACTACAAGTCTCGAACACTTTGACCCGAAACCATTGAAAACATCTGAGCATTGTCAAACAACATGCTCTCCCTGTGGGAGTGTGAAACTACCAGCGTCCCCGTTTCATCGCAAGCGTCGAAGCTCCCAATCTCAAACCAACCAGTGACGGGCTCACCACAATTGCCATCCCAAGCACTCCACATTACCTGTATTATCCTTTATTGGGGTGGTTGAACAAGAGGGGTCAATGTAGGCAAACATTCCGTACATGGAGTGTGTTAGGGCATTGATCAACAGTGCCTGAATCGAGGCTTGGAGTGTCGCCACCGTGTTGCCATTGATCACCACCTGCACCTGCAGGCCGGGATGAGCAGGGCCATTGCACCACCACTGTGCTGCAGCCAGCAGTTTATCGACTTTCCACCTGCTTGGCCTCAACATGATACTAGGAATTGGCCCTGTTGATGCTGAATTAATAAGCAAAGGATTAGGAAAGAAACACAAGATGTCCGTCCACAAAATTGCAAAAAGGAGGATACGTACTAGTAGTCATGCCAGGATCTACTAGTAGCTTCTTGCTCCTAGTAGCGATGCCCTTTGTTGCTAGTAGCTTGTTGTTCCTAGTAGTAATGCCAGGAGCAATGCTAGCAAATAGTAGCGTCCTTGTTACACGTTAAAGAAGTATGAACCCATCATAGAGTCATAGAGTATCATAGAGTCACCAATCCTTCTTTCTTCGGTCTCATGTGGTGAAAATCAGCGTGTGCATGGCAACCTATCTTTTGGGGGTGTCTTGCTATGCCGATTCGTGACAAAGTGAACATCACAGAAAGGATGGCCTCCGACTCCAAACCCATGTCAAATGCCTTGTGTTGAGAGAACAAACGCAACGCCAGCCTCGCCGTCAAACAAAATGTAGAAGGAATCTCCAGTTTCACCTAGAAACAGCGGCTATGCATCGGATGACACGGGGTACACTTACCGAACCACTGATCCGTAAAGGAAAACAATCTTTCATGGCACCATTATCAATGGTAAACATTAGTAATCCGGAATCCGGAGTGTAGCCTTCCTGAAATAGCAACATTCGCCGTTTGGATATAGACCAGTTGGCGGAGGACACATGATTAACTACTAACAACATGAAAAAAGCTCGTGTTTGTTTCTCCTGTTAGGAAACGGATTTTACAACCAATATGCCTAGGTCAAACGAGAAACACCTTGCAACTGAGACCCATTGGAACCTCGAGTTCCATTGACACTTACAGTGGACTTACAGTTCCCTTGATCTTCGAAAGGCACTCCCAACCCCCAACATCATGGTCACTGCCCTTAGCGCCTTGCGCCTCGGATAGTAATAATAGATCCTGGCCTTGTTGAATGATCACATCGCCCATCTTGAAGTGCATATGCGTGAGGGCCTCACAATGCTCATGGCCCCATGGCCCATGGTCTGCAGGTGTAATGTACATATGCATGTGTATATATGTGTGTTATATATACAAAACGGTTGATAAACAATCAATCCTGTACCATCATTTCGGGGTGTGTGAAGGGAGAATCTGTTGCTTGCAGTAGATTCTAGTGCACAGGGGCACACGAAAACGCCAAAACACGCTTCCAAACGCTTCCGGCGATTTGGAGAAAGCACCAACAAAACTATAATTTCAGATGTGGTCATCTTGGGATATGTAAATGTATGTATTGTAAATACGGCTTACGGCTTATGATAATTGTTCAGCGATAGATAAAAGGACGACAGGAAGACAGTACTTGCGTGTTTGTCAATTTCAGATCAGTGTGATCTGTCAGTACCCTAGTGGTTTTGAGAGGATCTTTTTAATGTCGGCCTTGCAAGAATAAACATCATCAACCCAACACAAGAAGGCCTCGTTTGTGCAGGAAAGCATTCTTTCAAGAGGCCATCGGATGCAACCTCTCCCTGTGATCTAAAGGAAACTCTTGAAAACTCTCTTGATGATGTTTTAACCACCCTATGCAGAGGTTTTACAATCCAAAAGGTGATGTTGTTCAAACGTCTACGTTCCTTCTCGCCTGTGCGGTGGACGTCTTCTCCTCGAGCGACAAGGCATCCAACAAGGAAACGCGGTCCTCGCTCGCGCGACAGGGGCCGCGGTGAGTGCGCTTAGCATCTGCATGATAAGTCCCTCCCAGTGACCCTTGTACCAGGCCTGTTTGTGACTCAAACCATCAAACGGTGGGGATTTTCCCAGGTGCAACATGATTCACAGAAAAGGGGGCCTGCAAGAAAACACATACACACAACAAAAACCACACAACTAAGATGAACGCAGTCATATCCTCTGACGCTGCGCCCAGGTCTGAGTTTTGGGAGCAGTTTCTGGGGGAGAGCGGAGTCTCCATGACCTAGTAGCTTCTTGCTCCTAGTAGCGAGGCCCTTTGCTCCTAGTAGCGTCCTTGTTCCTAGTAGCGATGCCAGGAGCCCATGGGGTTTCCAGAAATGCTCCGATCAGGGGAAGTACAGGTTGTGCGCCAAGTGTGAGGCTGAAACTCGGTCGTGAGCCGAAACTCGGCCGGCCGGTTCAGACCCAAGTGCCAGGTAGGCAATATACTCCATGAGTTTGTGCTCCGGCACCTCGAAAGCTTGGTTGATTTCGATCGGATCGTGCATCGAACCGACAATGCCCACAGTTCATGTACGTATAGAATGTCACTTGAAAAACCACGACTTGTGAATGTGTGTATTCCAGTGGAGAGGCTACGGCTAGTGAAGGGGCATCTAATCTAAGGGATTTTGATCATGTGGAGCCAAGGCCGCTGAGGCCTACCCAAGGCCAAAACACGTGCAACCTGGTTCCGTATAAGGGTGATTTTGAATGATTTTGATCCAAAATGGATGTACTCTCCACAGCGTATCACAGCGTGTTGATTTCTGGAATCCTGAAGTGGCCATGCATGGCCTATCAGGAAGTGACGAATTGTTGCAACAATCGTGGCGAATCGCTACACCAGTCACTTGTGAGCTGGGGCCTTGCTCTAAACTCCGGATAAGCGAGTGCTACCAGCACCTGAGACCTGCCAGGTCACCAAATGAGACATGTTAAGGCCCACCAACCCTCTTGGAGGAGACCGATTTGTAGAGTCGGGTGCTGGTATGCATGTCTCAGGAATTGAACACGGTGTCTTTCTGATAGAAATCTGCATGGCCCTTTGAAGTCGTACCCAGTTGTTGGGCAACGCCAGTCATCGACCCTGGTGACCATGAGATGACTCATGGATCTGGATGTTTTGAGGGAAGACAGGAAAGCTGCAACATAACAAAAACACTTCTTGCAACGGTGTTGTGTGGCCTTTCCTCAACTTGTATCATCCATTTGACACTTTTGGACACTTCTTTACCTCACAGCCTCCTGCAGAACCTCGCATGCGCATGCATAAGGTCATAAGGCGCCTTGAAGAGGATGTTCTTGAACTGCCACCGGTCGATGACCCACACGTTGCTGCGCTCCTGGAACGACGAGTCCGGTCGAAACGACTCCGGTCGACCGCAACGTCCGTCACCGGAGTCGCGAACGGCGACGTCCGACGTCACCGGCGTCCAGCGCCAGCACCGAATGCTCGTGGGGCCGCAACTGCAGCAGCGGCAGCTCACCGAAGCAATCGCCAGGCTTCAGCGCCGCCTCGCAAGTGTAGTCCATGGGCGCTCTGGTGGTAGTATAGAAGTTAGTAGTAGGCGTTTGGTGGACATGAAAGGTCAGAAGTGGCGATATGATGTAGAACAATATTGAAGAGAAAGTAACAAAACTGGATTCCTTGCTGGTCCTGGTTCACTACCATTTTTCTCATTATTCTAGCCTTAGTAGATTCATGTACAGAAGGAATGAGCCAAAACATGTTATATACAGGATCAGACCTGGAATGTGATGCGGATCACAAGTGAGTGCAAAAGCGTTGATCCAATCCACAGAACATTACATGTTTGTCAAGCAGCTCAGTTTTGTATAGTATCGTTAATGCTACAAGTATTCTCTGTAATGGTATATATATATATCATATACGGCTGATCAACATGTTCTTTTTTCCCGGGAAGTGCAATTCCTTTCGCACACAAACGGCTTGGGCGAAACATGTTGCCAACGATCACAAAATCTAGTCTCCAGTTTGCATATTGCTTTCGCAAGAACAACAATACCTTCGCGCTACTCTTGTGTTACTCAACTCCTTGTGTTATCCTCGGGTACGCCCGGCCCCCTGAAAAAAAAAGGTTCTCCTGGGCTTATCCACCCTGGCTTGCCCATGCTGACAGGCCCACGCCTGTGGGCCGCACCTCTACTATGTTTTTCCCTGTTGGTGAGTGTTGATACCTGGTCCTGGTCCTGGTGACTTTGGATTGTCGTGGGGGGTGCTAGTACAGTAATGCGTGGCCCTTCTGATTAATTATGGGGACCCCTGGCTAAAAGTAATATAAACATTAAGTTACCAGAGGGCCAAAAGCATAAACAACTATCTGATGTGCTTCTCTTGGCTCATACTTAAAGTACGTAGGGGTCCAAGCTCTTATAGGCGGGAATACAGTTCCTAGGTTCTTATGGAGAATACTCCCCCAAGCTCCTGGATTTTAGGAAGGCGGCAGGGAGGGGCGTCTTCGCGGACCTCATCGGCGAAGGGCTCAGTCAACCTTTTCAAACAAATCTAGAACTTGTTCAACTTACGTATATGCCCACGATGAGCAAACCAACAGTTTTTCCTTAAATGCTTCAATAGCTAACAACTATAGGCAGTGGTGAGACCTATCCTAACCCCGAAAGAACGTGAAAGTGTTGTCATTAGTGCAGGAAATGATCTTGCCCAAGTCGTTCAAGTGTCTTCGCTCGACCTTTCGGTTTATCTAGGGGAAGCCTAGTTGCAAATCACCAAAGTGAACGGAAGGTGTATGTAGTATGGGCTTACGTCCTACAATTTGCAAAACAGTAATTGTCCTCAAACTCTCGTTGTTGCAGAGTGTGGACTCCTTATTCAAACGTGTCTGAATTGAAGAAACATCCCTAACATCCCTAGACCAAAGTTCATTGGAAATCAGTTGAGTTCAATAAAAACCATCCAAAAATAGAGAGACTGGTGGTGAGTAGGGAATGAGGGAATGAGCTCCCAATAGAAATTTAAAGAAATTTCATTGATTCCTTCCCTCATTCCTCACTAAGCACCAGTCAGTACAGTGTCCACGCGACCACATCAACCCCCCGACCAACACACGCACACCTTGGTGATGCTATCGCTCTGGACGGCAAACTTCCCATCCTCCAGCGAACTCTTCGAAATGTGTGGTCCATGGTCCATGATCCATCATGATCCATCCGGGCTGAAGTGAAGATAGACCTCTTGAGCCTCTTTTAAGCCTCTTGAATTGTGTTTTTGTGGTTCCTTTTCCTCTGGAACGAACAGAAAAACTGGATGATGAGTCATTTGCATTCATTTGCGTCTGGATGAGTCGGCGGTTTCATGATTTCCGAGCAGTTTTGGGGTCTACAGATCGACGCGAGCAAAGGGTCTCTAGAATCGAACCAGTCGCCCCTTGTCTCTAGAATGAACCCCTTGTGGACATTTTGCTACGTCAACGGTCTCTTCACATTGTTCGTTACGCAAAATAAACTGTGAAGGATGCCCAGTCCAAAGTGTTTTCTCGTCCACCACTGTGTGACCAACAAAACATCGAACGGCAAGTCAAACGCCTGAATGATGTAGAAGTAGTCCGCCATATTTCCTTGTGAAATCATCACCTTGGTTTTCGCTGGCCGGGGCCGGCGTTTCATCCCTCAATTCGAGTTTCATCACCTCGGTAGACGATGGTAGACTTATTGATTTGGGGAGGTTTCAGAAAGGGAATCGACAGAAAACATGAGTGAGCTCAGCTGAAACAATTTTTTGTTTGCTGTGAAGGTTGGATGATCAAGGAAACTAGCTGCATCCGACTCCTGTCCACTGCGCACCCCTTGAGGGGAAAACCATGGGGCACCCAGTAGAATCTTAGTCTTTGACAAGTGTCTTTGCAGCATGTGCCTTTGGACAGTGTTGTTTGAGTTTTTCGTGCAGTTACGCTTGGAGATGCCAGCAGCCTGCGTGTCACTGCGTGTGATTATGTGTCATTCCGTGTCGGCATACCTTAAAGCGAAGGGGTATCAATTGGACATACCTTGAGAAAGTCCGATGTGAGCATCATTCGGTGTTCCTAGGTTGAAAGCCCTGTTCGTTCTGATCCTGGTAGGGTAGATTACCAGCAGTGTCCATTGGGCACCCCTCAAGGACATGTAACATCCAAAAATTTTAGCCTTAATTAATTACTGTTACTTCAAGGGATCCTTCATGCCACGGTGAGGAGCATGTTGGCATGGTCGTGAGTTTTGTGGTTCTTAATTTTGCTTGTGGGTCCTCAGGTTGAGTGCTGTGGTTGTGTGTTGTGGTTGTGTGCTGTGGATGTGTCTTTGTGGTTGTGTGTTGTGGTTGTGATTGTGTGCTGGTGATTGTGTGTTTGTGATTGTTTCTATTTTTTGTGGTTGTGGTTAGGGTTGTGGTTGTGATTGTGTGTTTGTAGTTGTGTTTGTGATTGTGTGTTTGTGGTTGTGTTTGTTGGTTTGTGCTTGTGATTGTGTGCTTGTGATTGTGTTTGCGGATGTGCTTGTGGTTGTGTGTTTGTGGTTGTGTGTTGGTTGAGGTCAGGCAGCGCCTAGCGCGCTCGGGAGCTGGCGGTTGAGGTCCGGCGGAAAACACAGCCACGCGGCCCTCGCGGTTTAGGTCCGGTGGGGAGCACTGCCTCGCGGCCCTCGCAGTTGAGGTCCCACGGGTGAGGAGGAGGCGGGTGAGGCGACATAATGTAATCGAACAATATCGAACAACCCTCACCTGACAGGTGGGAAACAAATAAGGAACGTGGAAACACACTGTGATTGGATTGTACTCAGAAATCATGCAATCAAGTAGGGAGTGCAAATATTGTTTGGTGATAGAGGTATATGGGTTGATAAGTCAACAATTGGTTGGACCTTATGTATATACATATCACGCAAGTACGTCGACCACCACAGCATTTGTTGCTTCGTTCAACAAGCAAAAACCTGCAGCAAATTGTGCACGACTATTTTGCTTGAAACGCTCAATTGAACATATATAGCTTACCTACGCGACTCCCTACAAAGAAACAAACAAGCAAACAGAGTCTCTGAGTCCGGAGTCCAACGAATCACACCGAAGTCCGACGTCGCCTGGCGTGCTTCCACGCTCTGCTTCCACATCAAGTCCTGGGAGGTCGGTGACCGGTGCCGGTCGAGTCTCGTCTCCGTGCGTCGGACTGAGCGAAGGCACCGGCGACAAGCGAAGTCTGTTTGAGGAAAGAGATCTCGTGAGCGAAGTCTTAGGCCAACAGGCTGGTTGGAGTCGATAGATAGGAAGGCTCCGTGGAGAGGGTGATTGATTACAGAGTCGTGGGATCCAGTGGGTGGTGGTGTCAACCCTTCAAAACGGACGTCTTGCAGCTACATCTCCACTCCGAAACCACCGTGATGTCTTGGCGCTCCGGCCTCCGGTGTCGTCTCCGAGATCCGGTCGGTGCGTGAGATCGGTTAGGCCTTTCTGTCCAGCTCCTGCCTCATGGTCCATGTCCTTCCGACCCAGGAGTAGCACAGCTACTGAGCTACTGCCTTCGAAATACGATGATGAAATGCCATGCAAATGCCTCAGGTGTGAAGATCTTCAATCAGATTTGCCATAACTGGACTTTTGTTGGAGGGTTTGTTTTGGGTATATCCGGTTACCAGTAACACTGGACGATGATGTAGAGGACATTATGGGACACGCCATGACACGCCCTAGATTTTTGTTCCATGTTTAATCTGAACATGTTTCTGCAACACACACAAATCCAGTCACAGCATGTCACAGCCTCGAATCCATCACGGTACACAATTTTGGCAGTGGAATACAACAAACACAAACTGGCGCCGTGCAACACCATTTTCTTCTACAAACTGGCCTTGGTCTGTGGAGTTTGTCATTCTCACAAGTACACACAAAATGCATTCCAACTAGGGAAATTTCCAGAGTTGGCCCTCCTTGAACAACTTGAACAACTGGTGGTCCGGGGAATCCACTGTGCGAGGGTAGATGTTCATCTGTACCCAGATCCAACCCGATTGACTTGGCCGAAAGAGAAGGCGTGAAACTGCCCCCATCTGACGTCAAGGCATGACAAGGCTCAATGAGCGCCTCTCCGTGCATCTCCACAATTTCCGATCTCCTTGGTTTCTCAAATTTTTGAAACATACCTCGACTGAGGGTTCTATCCACCAACATGCGAATTGGAAAAGGGATCACTGTAGCCCCTTGAAGGGATTTCCACAAAAGTGTTGGCATTCGCATCCCAGCTGCATTTTTGCGTCTCACTTGATCTTGAGACTTCCATGTCCTTCCAAGGCAGACCCCAAACCCACCACAGACATCGAAGGACCCGAACTCACCATCCATGGAAGAGTAAGTGGGCTTATACCGACCTCAAAAACTTCTACCGACCTCACATCTCCAGCCTCACGCCTTCCAAGGCGAGCATCTGCCGCAAGTTCGGATTCTTCCGGAGTGCCTCCATTAACATCTGCCGGTCGGCCTCCGTCTTCTCCTTGGGAGTCAATGATCACGTCGGGGTTGCGCGGGCGAGGGCCAAGGAACCCCAACGAGGTCAACAAATGGATCCGGTTTATGCGATCTTGTTCCACGCAAACAAGACACAAACGCCTCAAAGGCTTTCTGTCTTCAAGCCTGTCTCTGGCAAGCTTGAACCCTTTCTCTGGCTCTGTCCAAGCTCCTCTCCCAAGCTGGTCGGGCAGCCATGCTAGTAGAACCCCTTTACTTAACTGTCCATACTATCTAATGCCAAATGCCCCCATACTTTCTGTGGACTCCGTTCAGTGGACTGTCCATATCTCGTAGACTCAGCGTCTGAGTCTATGCGCAAGTTGGGGGCCCGAACCCTTTTTCCTGCAAAGTTCGGGACCCGAGCGGGCCTGAGCTGTGTTGCATAGTTTGGGTTTGAAATTCACCAGAGTTATACAACTTCCATTATTGGGACACTGCTCGGGCCCGAACGTTCAAAGATCAAATATTATTGGAACTGTTGCTCGCCCACAGGACGTGGGACCTCCTTGTAGAAAAATCTTGGTTTTGGTATGTCTTGGTCTTGTTTTCCGGAAGGCCTTTAATTAACTTGGTCTTAGACTTGGTTTACAGAGTACCAACAATAGGCATTCTCAGGTATGATTGTGCTCTTGTCTGTCCTAATTGAAGATTCGTAGAAAACGGTTCTGTAAGGCACGCCGAAGTCAAGTCACCTCAACTGAAAAGTTCCCTACATCCCAGGCCCAAGCTAGTCTTTCTACCCTTGCACCCGTTCCATAGCTACGTCACTGTGTGCACCTGTACAGTACATGATGTTGTTTTTTGCACAACCGCCACTGTTGGAGCAATCGACCACCACTACTGGGGAACTACTTGAACACTGACTACCACTTGCGAGCCACCAACGCCCTTCAAAATCGAACTAGAAGCAACAACAAACAAAACAGCTAAACGATCATGACAAAAGCAACCTATGCACCCCACGCAAGGCCCAGAGTTAAGAGTTCAAGAGATTCCATAAATTCGCCTTTCTGAACACGTTGACTGCGTTGACTTGCCTACTATACTTAACAATCAATGGTTTACAGCCTTTGCACCTGGAACTCGTAATACCAAGGAACACTTTCTGGAGCTCTTCATGAACCCATTTTGGAGATCATTAAACGCAAGGACCATCGCGACAGCCGTCAGCTCCGCACTCCCCCATGTCAATGTCTTCTCGTCCAAAGCACTGATGGAAGTTTGGCTTCGATGGCGGCAGGGCCTTGGAACACGCGAGGCGAATCGAGGTCCGCGGTAACGGGGAATCAGCTGAGGACGAGGTTCGTGCTCCACACCGGTCCCGGGGTTCGTCGAGGTTTGTCCTGTTTGTTGGAGGTTCGAGGTTCATACGAAGTGTACCGGTACGAAGCACATCGTCGCGCTTTCCGGAAGTCGTGTCGTTATAGATTTTGGAAAGTGTATGACGTGAGGCCAGGGTCATAATGAACATTAGATGGGTTGCGTATTGCAGCTGGCTTTTAGGATCTTTTAGGCACCCCAATCTAGTTTCAACTATCCCTCACCTGAGTTTGGTTCCACCAAGTTGTTCCACGACTGGTCTACATCAGAGTCTGGAGAGGTTGACAGGATGACAGGACGTACTCAAATCGCTCGAATGGTCAGGCCAAGCCGTGGTTGACAGGATGGTGGGCGATACAACTGCAGGCCCTCGCTCCGGGTAACATTTTTTGGTACAGGTGCTGCTACAAAAAACACCCATTGTATGATCCACCAGCACAGGGTAGAAAGTGGTATGTTGATAGGGTAGGTAAGGTATGTAAGGGATATTCTTAAGACAAGCAAACAGCCAAACATAAATAGGAAAATGATGGAAACTGTTACATGGCAGCCCATTCTAGGACAGTCACATGAGACCAGGTGGCTGACAGGAGTAGGATTTCTACATATTAATCCAAGACTTCCTTCCTATTTACCCTGCTTCCTCCACATCCCCAGTCATGGGTTCCTCTGATCCTTTTCACAGTCCTTACCTTGCCAGTCGTTCCATACCAAAAAAAACTGGCTGACTTTCATGGCCAAGAGCTTTTTGTTCTTCAGTTTTTTTGTTGCAAAGAAATCCCCCCAAAAGTACTGTGCCCCATCAACTCGAGTGTGACCTCGTCCGTGGCGTAAAACTGCGCCCAAGTGGCCGGAGGTACGGCGCTGGGCGAACTTCACCTCAGCCGAAAGTGAGAAAAGCCGATGTTTTCCAAGGTTCCTAGCCTGGCAGTGGAGTGATTTTGGGGCCGGAGACTGGATCCCAGAGCCAGTATTCATGTTGAATGGTCCATAATGAGTTGGTCTCAACAACCAGAAACCACTGCAACTTCTGCAACTTGACGAAAGTAGATGAACAGCCCTCAGCACTGTGGCTGAGACTCAAACCTTGTCATAGATTCTCAGTGGGATGTCAGAGCGGCAACGCACGGAGCTGGAACATAGGTCAGCATGTACCCCATGGCCATTCTTTTCAACCAACACCAGGGCCAGACTATGCTTTGTGTACTACTTTTGGAGAGTGAGAAAAATGAGTACTCAGTCTGGTCTCTGATGGCATTCTATCCTGGGGGGCCTAACTCCAAAGGGCTTGCTACAGGTTGCACCAATGGCCAATCTACTTACTTGGGATATCGTTTTATTGGAGCGACCTCCAACCAACTTTCGTCTATGCTTAGGTGTCTTTTGAAGGTCCTATCCTAGGCCCGATTGGCCCTATTCTAGCACACCCTCCACTTCACCTGAAGGGAACAGGACACGTCACCGCCCTTTTTGGTCCGTCTGAGCATGCGACATAGTCCTCCAGGTTCAGCTCTGTAAACTTCTCCTTTGTCATGCTGAAGGCCGTGGCTGCCTGGGTGGAGTCTCAGTTTGTGCAAGAAACAACGGTTCAACTGAGAAATTGATTTTCTGCATGAATTGATATTGGTGTGGCGATTGGGTATGATTTTACATGATTTGATTTTTACCATATTCAGAAAACTGTCCATACGAAATGCGAAACACAGAATGTATTGAAACAAAACCGACCAACCCATCTCACTCGTGCCATGTGGCTGTGGCTGCCACCACTGTTGCGCCCCGTGGCTCATCGAACATCACAGCACGTTCGCCAAAGTAGTCGCCAGCCTGCGAACCCGGCAAAACGCAGATCACTCTGAATCATGCTCCTAGAAACTGCCAAGAAATTAATTAAAGAGGATTCTTGACTCTTGACTTTTCAAATTCTGCAAGGTTCCTGGCCAAGAGCGGCAGTTTCAGCCGGGATGAGCCGGCGACGACTCCGCTCCCGAGATCCAGTGGCAGATCTCAATGCCTGATCCTCAGTTGCTTGGGCCTTGTTGGGCCTAGAACAGGACAAACCTTGCATCAAAGCTGGCAGGACTTCGAGATGGGTCATCCCACTTGCACCCACTGATGATAGAAAGCTGACAATCAGGCTACAACGACTACGACCGGTCCAGCCAAGGTGCTTAGCGATTCAACTCCGTTCAACTCCCGTCACCCCACCACCCTCTTGGCCGTGCCTTCAGGCTGGCCACCCGCTTGGGAGCTTTGCCATCCTCGGGCGCGCCACCCGATTCATCCGAACCAGTTCGGCCACGAAAACGATAGAGGTGTGTCCCAAGCAGATCACTGAATGCGGAAGTGGGATGTCAGGCAATCCCACTGGTGACACCACCATTGAATTAACATATTGAATACATAGACTACGTTACTTTGCAGCTACGGGCGAACTCTTAGTGGCTCCGATGTCTCCCCTCTGCAGCACTGAACATGTCTCACGGTAATTGAGGATTCCAATATTGATCTGAACATGACATTATCTCCTGAACTTGGAAGGCTTCCCGAGCTCCACGCGCAAGCGCGTTCAGGGATCTGCAAGGGATTCTCTCTAGTCTCTCTCCAAGCGCGCACCACACACCAACCCATTTGAGGTCCAGTGTGGCCGTTCCGACCGTTCCGACCCCGTGTGGTGCCGAAAAAAAGGAACACGCCCACCGGTCCTTGCTGACGAGCACCGTGACCTCGCCAGAGCGGATGATGAAGAGCTCCTGGGAAGATCAAGTCTCACACACCAAACTGTTTGGGGCAATGTGACAAAAAAACGAAAGAATCAATATGACAAAGAAATACGCGGAAGACACACCGAAACAAAAATTACGAACCGAGAATATGTACTGTAGATAGAAAAGTGCCAATGCATTTTTGTGTAAACAAGTTTGTCTGTGAAAGTATCTGTAGACAAAAACGTATCTAAAGACAAAAAGTTCTATGAAACAAATATATTCCAAACATTTTGCTTGTACAGCTGAAAAAAAGCCGAGACTGAAACAAGTTGGTGTGCTTGAGGGCATGCACATAGTGAAAAACAAACACCTATTGAAAAAGGACTTGCCATCACTTTACAAACACCAATATACTGTGAGCGTTTAACCAAAAATGGACTGAAATCGAAACCTAGGCAACATGCAACGTTTGATAAAGGGAAAAGACTGGGGAAACGGCAACACTTTGATGCTTTTGATTGTGCGTCATTGGCGGCAAGCTTTTATGCTGAAGGATACTTGACCTCTACAACAACGGGATGTGTGGAATTACAGGATAAAGTTGCATGGAGGGTGTTCAACCACGGATTATATGTAATTTGTGAAGAGAACGGGTTTTGAACAAACAAATGAGGGCTAAACATGGCTAAACACATGAGACATGTTGTAAACGAGGAAGGCCTCTCTAAAATGATATTATTTATCAGGATGAGAACCCTGCAAAGAAGAATCAACAGTAGATTTTTGGAATACTCTAGCTACTGCAAATGTGTGCATCCAAGTTCTTGTTTGGCTTCATTTGAGGGCCCCAAAGTGCACAAAGCACCAAACTCACCCTATGTCAGCAGCATGTTGTAACAATCATTCAAACATAACAGGACGATAGGAAAAGGAAGGCTTGTGATGCCCTTACACAGGACAACACTCATATATAGTATAGTAGAGGACGAGGCATTCACACGGAAGTATCATAGGCTTTTTGAATGACTGTGTTTATTCAGTGAAGACACTGCTCAAGGAAGGAATTTTGGAGTAGGGGGGGGCTATGCATCAATGACACGTGTTGGTTAGTAGCAACATCTTGTCAAGAAGGATACTTGTCAAAGAACATAGTTAGGCAGGGACAGCCTGCAGGGGAAGGCTTAACCAAGGATTGCCCTTGCCAAGGATGGCAATTGTTTTGTACTGTGTATACATGGGAATGCTTTCCAAACGAAACTACCTCCATAGGAACAAAAACAAGTTTCTGCAAGAACACACATCCGAACATCCGCAGACGCACATCCGCACGTTCCGTCTGAAATAAAACTCCTCGGTAACCATCCCTCAAACGAAACAAGTCTGTCCACCGAGGCTCAGTGCCCTGGTCACCCTGCTTCACCACCTCAGCACGGTTCATTCAACCAGTCCAAGTATTCCCTGCACAGAGTTGTGCATTGAGAACAATAGAACTCGACCCCCTAGAAGAAGGAACAAACCAAAAAGGATTGGTTGAGGGTTGCCCTATCTAAATTCAAAACCCAAATCAACACGTGGAATTCATGGCCTTAGCTATATTGGCAATCTGGTTCCGGCTCCTCTCTGATCTGGATTCACTGGTAGGGTATGAGTTCTTCTGACAACACTCCGGTTGTCAAGGCCTCTGCATTTAACCAGCACACATGACCCCGGCCCCACATCGGAACTGACCGGCAAAAGTCTTAGGGGTGCTGTTTAGTCCAAGTCTACACTCTAGACAGTGGTGGGTGGATATGCCCGCTGACGGTCTATGATCAACCGAAGATGTGCTTGTTTCTCCTCCCTCCATCCTACAATACGCGCCTTCATCTAGATTCCTCACTCAGACTCAGAAAATTCAAAATGCACAAAGTTCATAATCATATTTTTATATACAGTATATAAATCATCCAGTTTGTGAACTATAGAAAAGCAACACGTCCACTTGGTTCGTCCACTTACACCATGAGACCTCCATGAAGGGTTGCTGCTTCCATCAGTTCCCCAATGTTCCAGTTCCCTCCAGGCAGTGAGCGGATATATGATAGAGTTCCATGAGAAGGCAGTTGGACACTTTTGGACATCGATAAAACATTGTCCAATACTATTCCTGAAACGTACGTATAAAATATATATATGTATACAACTATATAATTTATAAGTCATGGCAGAAGCAATACAAAGGTTCCAAAAGCATTTCAAAGACCCACACAGACCCATCGTCTCGTTCTCAAGCCGCTCTTCCATTCTCTGCGTCGCGGCACGGATTGGCCGCTTTTGAACTGCGTTGACGTCAAACTCGTCACCAACAGTGGATGCATCTCCTGCAGAATCAAGCTTTCGTTCCGACCCGGTCGGCCCGTGCTGGGGGTGAAGATGTGCCGTGACCGGGGCCATTTGGGGTTCCAAGCGGAAGATGAGCGGCCGGCAAAACTACGTGTCCCAAAACGTATGTAGTAGATCGAGGTATCGTTTTTGGGATGGTGTATCGTATTTCCAACCAGTTTGGACATTTTCATACCCGAGGTATCGTTCTCTATTACTTTCATCACACACACATCATGTGCATCTCATGCCTCAACAAATCTGCTATGGCACTTTTCAACTGCTGGAACTGGAAGTAAGGGACAAACAGAAAAGTGGATATGGATTGCGTCTCAAAATGATGAGATCTGGGCTCCTGCGTTCCCGGGCATGATTTTATAGCTTAGGGATACTCCTTGATTGTCCTATGGGGCTGTGGATTTTCATTCTGTAAACACACAGGATTTATGATATGTGTGTAAAGGACATTGTCACTGTCACTATAAATGTTTTGGTTCAGAAACTTAGAGATCCATCGTTTCATACAGTGCCAAGACATTACACAGTAGAAATGCTCAGATTTGGAGGAAAAAGGCCTGCTTACACAAAATGCATAGTGCAGCATCACTTAACCACAGTTGAAAAACACCATCTCCAACCACTAGTTTATACAAAATGCCTTGCGCAGCATCCTGTGAATGATTTTCCTGGGCATCCAGCCCTGAAAAACAGACTGACATCACATTTGACCACACCCAATCTCTGAAACCCTCTGAGTTATACAAAATGTGGAGCCAACCTTCACATTAACCTCAACTTGTAGATTTGCAAAGATCCCACACTGATGGTTTACGATCAGCACGAAGGATCGCGAGCATTTTAGTAAGCGCAAAGGATTCTCATTTCATAAACCATCAGTCAACGGGTATGCTTTAGGGGTATCATCGTGTCTCCGATATTTTCAGACTGCAACCCTGTATTGTTGGCATTGATATACAAACGGCTGCGGTGAAGTAGGGATAAACATGCCTCAGCTTCTTTGCGGATATGAACAGAAGAAAATCAACAAATTTAGTTCAAGGCATGGGGGTAGCTTTTTTGGTATCGTGTATCGTTTTTCCAACTCAGAATCGCTACCGCGGATTTCATCTAAACATGATGCGCAGCATTCCCTGGTCACTCAGATGCTACCTGGGGAGAGGCCACGCTGGACCAAGCAAAAGCCGGTTCTTCAGATCGTTTTGAAAACGTGCAAACACATGCAAACACCAGGTATTCCAAGGTTTTAGCAGGTCATGGTAGGTATTGAAGGCTTCTTTTGCTTAAGGCGGATAAGGCAGCAGTGTTTCTTTTGGTACGACGTCGCTGACATCACGTACAAATAAATACTATAAGATGGTGTTTGCTTTGCACGGTGAGTTGTGTGTTTTCTGCAACTCTAAACGAGGTCGCAGTATGTCTCCCGGACGGAATCAACGGACGGAGTTCTTGCAGTGAAGAACTGGGTCGACCGGTCCTTGGGAACGCGCTTGAAGAGATTCACCTGACGGACACGAATCAATAGATCAAATGAAACACGCATGATACATGAAAAACATCCTGTAGTGGCTGATACTGCAGATTGATAGTTGGGGGACCATGATCACCTTGAAGAGCGTTTCTGCATGGTCACACAAGGAGCTTCAATGAGGCAAACTATTGCAAAACAAATTTAAAAAAAAAACAAACAGTGGAAAACTGTGAATACCTTCGCGGCACCTAGTTGATCCTCGGTGAAGCAAACCTAGAAAGACTCACCTCCATCGGTGGAGCAACCTTTTTTGTGGTTCCTTGTTTGCATGTTTGCTTCAGTTCTTCCCTTCTCAGTTTCTCAATACAATATCGGCCTTTGGCAATGCATGGTTGACATACAGAATAGGACCAACCATGGGCAACACACGTCAGAACTGGCTCTAACCACAACCGAAGACCAAAGGACTCCACAGAAACCAACCAGAGTCAAATAGATATACGCCAAATCTTGCATTCACTCCAATCCTTGTCGAAAACGAACAAGCTTACGGGTGTCAGGGATAGAGACACACACACACACTAAACTATTTTACTTTGAGTGACCCCCACCTTGGCATTTCAAATCTGGGTTTTGATGCCATGGTGGGAGCATCCACATTATTCAACCATGAAACAAGCAAGGATTGATCAAGCCCTGGCCTGCTGCTACGAGCCATCAGCCAGGTGGGATGGAGAGAACGTAAATAGCAGTCCAAAGCGAGATCTAAGACACGATAAGCACATGGGTCCGGTAGGCCATGCTCGTGTTCGGGTCACGCAGTGTCCTCCGCGCTGGCGTGGGTGCGTGAGAAGGGGCGGCTGGTGCGGAAGATCGGCTGGTGTTCTTGACTGGTGTGAGTGGGTTGCCCAGGTCGTGGAGTTTCTGACGTGCACGAGCCAGTTCGTCGTTGGTGGTCTTGAGGGCGCGTAGGGCGGAGCCTTCCGCAGGTGCTGGGGAGTGGGTTTGCAGTTGGTCGATAAGCAGTTTGATGAGGGGAGCGTGAAAAGCTCGGGCATGAGTAGTTTTGTTTGGAACGTCTGTGCTCTGTTGTGTGTGGAGAGCCTCCGCTATGCCGTCAAGGTCAAGGCGGTGCTCGCGGAGTTGTTGGAGAAAAAGGGTCACGAAGACCGACTCCGCTATGCTTCTGGTGGCAATGAAACCTGTAAATTTGCCGTTGCTCAGTGTACGGGCGGTGAACTCGGAGGTACCGTGGTAGGCCAATTGCCACGGGAAGACCTCAAAGGTGGGGAGGCCGGCCACTCCTGCTTTGCGAGACCACTGGGTGGGTTGAATTGTACGATGTAGTTGGTGGCCGTGCAGGGTGTTGGAGTCCCAATGTTGTTCGGTGGGGTTCCAGGAGTCGGGAACAGGTGGTGTGGGAGATGGGATGTGTGGGGGCGGTGGGGCAGGCGCTGTGGTGCCACGTGTGGTAGGTGGTGGCGGGGGGCTGTGTTTGAAGGTCGATGGTGGTGGAGTGACAGGTTCGGCCGTGGGCAGGGGTGGCGGCGGTGGAGGTGGAAACTCTGGCTGGGAGTTGGGTGCCTGGGGTGGGGGTGTGTGCTGCGATGGCGGTGTGTACGGTGGAGTCACATAAGGGTTGGAGTGGTGGACGTGGTGTGTGCGAAGTGCGTGAGTGAGTGGGCCGTAGGTGCCTGTGGGGCTGTAGGTGTGGTGGGCGGTGGTGGGAGGAGAAGTTGTGGTATCTGGGTTGGTGAGCTGCTGATGGTGTTGCTGCATCAAATAATGATTCCAGTAGTATTGCTGCCACTGCGCGTCCATGGTGGCTGAGCGAAGTATCACTGGATCGTGGGCGTGGAGCACCGGTTGTTGATTTGAGCAAGCTGAAAATGGGAAAACAGGTGCAGGACAGTCAATTGGGGGAGCAATGGTGGCGTTAAAACAGTCATGCTGTCGGAAAACCGGTGTCAAAGAGAGAAAACTCGAACGACCGCTGAGAACACAGGAAAACCGGAAAAACCCCCAAAAGGCGCCTGTGCGGGTGCGAACAACATATTGAAAATCAGACTGTCCACTGAAGCGCGCTGTTTTTCGTTGTGCAAGGTGAAACTGAACGTGGTTGTCTGCGGAGCAAGCTGAGCGACTGTCCGAAGATGATGGTGGGCGTGTTGTTGGAAAGTTGTGGTAAAACAGAAACTACATGGCCAAAAAAGGAGGGAGTGAGGGTGGTAACATGTTGTACAAGTCATCTTCGGTGGAATCATGGCAGGCGCCTCAGGAGCTGCAGCTGCGTGATCAATGGTTATCTGCATGCCACGGGTCGGTGACTGGATCGTAGTCCTGTTGTGATAGCGGCAAGGGGCGCCCTTGCGCGTCCAACCAGATCGTGGGTGGGCGGAGTGTGACCACTGGGGGTGGTGAACTCAAGGTGGAGGAGCCAGTCTGTGGTGAGATGAAAGGGGTGGGTTGCTGTGTTGGAATGGAGTACTGTGCTGGCCATGGGTGAGTGGGCGTGGGAGCGGCTGTTGGTGGTGCCACTGAGGGTGCTGGCGTATAAGATCCGCCTTGAAAAGAAGGCCAGCCAGTTGCCGGGGGAACAGGCTGAAGGGGTTCGGTGGTAGAGTGTTGCTGTAGGGCTTGAGAGAGCGACGGTGGTGGTCGCTTTGGAAGTGGGTGGACTGTAGTGGTGGCATGGCGGTTGATGCCGGAGGCACTGCCAGGGGGCGTTGGGGAGCCTGTGCGTGGATCTGGCTGGCGGGTGCGAGTGGGGGTAGTGGTGCGAGGAGGTGTCTTGGAACGCCTGTTGCGTGGTGTGCCGCCGATGGGGGATGGAAATGTAGGTGGAGTGTGGGGTTGTTCTGGCAGAGTGACAGGAGGTGTGGGGATGAGGTTGACGTATTGCCAGCGATCGTGTGGTTGTTTGTTGGTGGCTGATGTGGGATTGGGGGATGCTGTGGGAAACGTACTGCTGGCTGCGGGAGGGGAAGTTGCCGATTGGTTGCTGTCTGCTGTGGGCATGAGGCCGGCAAAAGAAGGGAGCTGGACGATGGCGTGGATGTCCGTCTGGATATGACGGTGGTGGGTGGCTGTTCGGGGGGTTGCTCGAGGTGTGGTCTGTTGGGATTCGTGCATGAGAAGCGGTGGAAGTGGATTGGCCAGGATGGATTCTGACGGTGGAGGAGTTTGAGTGGCGACGTCCTGCAAAGTAGTACTTCGGGTTGTGGCGGTGGGAATTGGGTAGAAGCGCAGGGGTGAAGTGGAACTGGGAGGATGGTCAGTCTCGTTGTGTGTTGATGTGGAGGTCTGTGCGGTTAGGTTGGGATCCAGGAAATATGCTGCTGGGGGAAACCGAGCCATGGTGTCAATGGCATTGAGAGCCAGGCGGGTGTGGCTCTGGATGCGTTGTACGTTGTTGTGGTAAATGGCAATGAGCCGCTGGACAGGTGGTGGGAGTGTATCAGTTAAAGGTGGATGTCCGATAGGGGTGTCAGTGAGGGCGTTGAGGCTGTCCAGGTGTTGGTGAAGAACGAATCTGTGGACGTGAAGGTCGGTGAGGATGCCCATAAGGGCGTGGGGTGGTTGGAGGGTGTATACTTCGGCCCAAAACGATTGGTCTGCCGAGATGTTTGTGGTGGCTGATGGTGCGGGTTGTGAGGGTGGGGAAAGTGGATTGGGTGGAGGTTGCTGCGGGGATGTTGGATCCTGCACTTGCGGAGGTGTTTCCTCCGGATCTTCATTGAAGAAAAGTAGAACCTCAGACTGCTCATCATAGTCGGCGTGCCGCTCCATTGACAGCTAAGTGTGGAGGCGGTGCACGGTTGCAGGTAACGATCACGAGTTTGAAAAAACGGCTGCAGTCCGGTGGAACACACTTGCATGTGGGAGTGAGAGGTTAAAACCAGGTGTCCAACTAAGTAGAATGGGCAGGAAAATGTAGGAGAAGTCGAAAAAGTGGAAAGCGAAAAAACCGAACGGAGGTGGCGTTCTTTTTAGTCATCACACGCTGTGTGAAGGTGCGGGGTGAGACTATGAGCTGCTGTGGCGTGAGTTGAGCTCGGCCGCGGCTGCAGCGGCGGCTTGGCGCGCAATCCGCAGGATGGTTTGTTGGAGCGTGGCCGCCTGCTGCTCTGTTAGTGGCGCATCGGGAATGGGGGGTACCGGTGGGAAAACTGTAGTGGTGTTGGTAGTAGTGGTTGGTCTGAAGTGAGATGGCGGTACGGGACTTGATGTGACTGGCCGTCGAGTGGGATGTGCTGTGGGATTGAGGTAATGCTTGATGTCGTTGGAAAAGTTGAAGGGTAGGAGTTGGCCATTCCGGTGGGGACGTGGAATAGTGACCTGTACAGGGTTGCGTGTGGGTGCTGTTGAAGGGTGGGCTTGGTGCCATTGTGGAGGGCGCACCCAAGTGGTATTGATGGGTGGGTGCCCCGGACGTGCTTTTGGTAGAATGGGAACATTGGTGGTGAGGATAACTGGGTCCTCAGTGCTGGTGGAGGATGTGGTGGATGGTGGTGCTGATGTGGTGTGCGGAGGGGTGGCACCAGGCGGTGTTGGTGTTGGCTTGAGGTTGGTCTGTGGTGTGTTGCGTGTAGATAGGTTGCGGTATGATGTATGAGAGACTGGAGGGGCTTTGGGTGGTGGCGTTGTGGACGTGGTAGAGGTTTTGTCCGGTACTGCGCTGACCGGAGGGCAAAGCATGGGAGCATGCTGTGGGGAGTCTTCTTCCTTTTTCATGAGTTCCAGCTTTGGGTCCTTGGTGGATGATGCATCGGCTTCTGCTTTGGTGAGGTGTGGCGTCTCTTCCTTCACTTCGATAGACTCCGTGGGAGTGCGATCCCAATCTGGAGAGTCGTAGTCCATGGGATGGTGGGAAGGCGAAGCGAGTGGTATGAAACGGCCCGTCGACAGTTCAAATGGCTGCGGAGAAAAATGTGTGACTGCTGGGTGGTAAAATAGAGATAGAGTGAAGAAAGCAAAGAGGACAAGTTTTTTCCGATCTCTGATCAAAGTGTGACGTGTGAGATCAAGCGTTA